AAGAATTAATACTGTTAAAAAGTCTACACTGGGCAGCCTGGGTGGCTCAGCGGTTTAGCACTGCCTTCAGCCCAGGGCGTGATCCTGGAGACTCGGGATCGAGTCCCATGTAGGGTTCCCTGCATGAAGTCTGTTTCTCCCTTTGCCCGTGTCTCTGCCTCTCTGTTTCTCTGTGTGTCTCTCACGAATAAATAAAATCTTTAAAAAAATAAAAATAAAACGTCTACACTACCCAAAGCAATCTACAAATTCAATGCAATCCATATGGAATTAAAATTCCAATGGCCTTTTCACAGAAAAGTGAAACAAAGTTAGAGCAAACAGTTCTAAACTTTGCATGAAATCACAGAAGAATTGAACAAAGTAATCTTGAAGAAAAGGAACAAATTTGGAAGCATCATGCTCCCTGATTTCAAACTGTATTTCAAGGCCGAGATAATCAAAATAGTATAGTACCAACATAAAAACAGAGACATAGCTGAACAGAACAGAATTAAGGCCCCAGAAATAAACCTTTGCATATTTGATTAATTAATTTATGACAGAGGAGCCAGGAATATATAATGGGAAAAGGACAGTCTTTTCAATAAGTGGTGTCAGGAAAACTGGCCAGCCACATGAAGCTCGACCACTAGCTTAAACCATACACAAAACTAGCTCAAAGTGGTTTAAGGACTTAAGTATAAGACCTGAAATCATAAAACTCTTTGAAGAAAATATGTAAGCTCCTTGACGTTGGTCTCAGTGATGATTTTTTGGATATGACACTAAAAGCAAAGGCAACAAAAGAAAAATATGTGAGTGGACCACATCAAACTAAAAAGCTTCTGCACAGCAAAGGAAACCATCAATAAAATGAAAAGGCAACTAGGATGCCTGGGTTGTTCAGCGGTTGAGCATCTGCCTTTGGCTCAGGGCGTGATCCCAGGATCTGGAATTGAGTCCCACATCAGGCTCCTTGCAGGGAGCCTGCTTCTCCTTCTGCCTGTTGCCTGTGTCTCTACCTCTCTCTCTCTCTCGGTGTCTCTCATGAATAAATAAATAAAATCTTTAAAAAAAAATGAAAAGGCAACCTACTGCATGGAAGAAAAATATTTGCAAATCATGTATTTGACAAGGGGCTAATATCCAAAATACATAAAGCACAAAAAAATTGATTAAAAACTGGGCAGAAGATCTGAAGAAAGATTTTCCAAAGAAGATATACCTGAAAAGATGCTCTACATTAGTAATCATCAGAGGATTATAAACCCAGACCACAATGAGATACCACCTTATACCTGTTAAAATGTCTATTATCAAAAAGATTTGGAATAACAAGTGTTGGTAAGGATGCAGAGAAAATGGAACCCTTGGACACTGCTGGTGGGAATGTAAATTGGCGTTGCCACTGTGGAAAAAAAGTATCAAAAAATAAAAAATAGGACTACCATATGATCCAGCAATTCCACTTCTGTGTGTTTATCCAGAGAAAACAAAACCGGTAACTTAAAAAGATATGCACCCCCATGAACATGGGGCAGCATTATTTACAATAGACAAGACATGGATGCAACCTGTGTCCACTGATAGATAGATGGATAAAGAAATTGTAGTACATATGCACGCGTGCACACACACACACACACACACACACACACACACGGAATAATATTCAGCTATAAAAAGAACAAAATCTTGCCATTTGTGACAACATAGATGGACCTTGAGGGTGTTATGCTCAGTGAAATAAGCCAGGGAAAAGTATTGTATGATCTCGCTCATATGTGGAATCTAAAAGTACATCATACATACATAAAACCAAGATACAGAGAACAGATTTGTGGTTGCCAGGGATGGGGGGTAGGAGAAACGGGTGAACTAATTTTGTTTTTGTTTCTAGTTTATTTATTTTATTTGAGAGAGGGAGAGAGAGAGAGCAAGTGCACATGCACTTGTGAAGTTGTAGCAGGTAGGGGAAAAGGGAGAGGGAGAAGCAGATTCCCTGCTGAGCAGGGAGCCAGATTGGGCTTGATGCCAGGGGACCTGGAGATCACAACATTAGCCAAAGGCAGATGGTCAACCAATTGAGTCACCCAGTGTCCTATTTTTGTTTTTAGTTTAAATAAGTTGAGGGGGCAGCTCCGGTGGCTCAGCGGTTTAACACTGCCTTCAGCCTGGGGCCTGATCCTCGAGGCCGGGGATCAAGTCCCGTGTCGGGCTCCCTGCATGGAGCCTGCTTCTCCCTCTGCCTCTCTCTCTGTATCTCTCATGAATAAATAAATAAAATCTTAAAAAAAAAATAAATATATAAGTTGAGGATTTTTAAAAAGTGCTTAATTTTAGTAAAGATCACCCAGGAGGATAATGTTTGTATGGGTCTATCTGGCCCGTGGGGGAATATTGCCCATCCTGTCTGCTTTAATAACAGCCTCCCACTCTGAGCCCCGATGGCAGGGGGAGTTTGGCTAAGGTTGTACCTTGAGTCTCTGAGCATCCCACTCACACAGCACCACTTTCAATCTATCACCTGGCTCATGACCAGTCAAATTTCCTGTCTTAAACAAAACAAGATAGACGTTGGCCCCTTGAACTGAAAAGTGCTATTGGACTAGAGTGGATATTTCAATTCTATGTGTAAATAGAGAATGTGGGTCTGTAGGAAGAAGTGGAGATTTTGAACAGGGAGAGATCTAAGAAGGGAGATCTTGTAACCATAGAGAGCAGGGAGGTGACTGGGAGAAGTGCTGCTACATACAGTCTCTGAGGCTTCCCAGTGATCAGTTCCTGTTCCTACGGGGCCCTGCTTGCTTCCTTCTGATGGAATGTCCCATACAATAATCCCTGGGTATTTGAATTACTTTAGTGGCTTTCTCTTTCCTGCAGCAGAAAAATCTTGAATACAATTCTGACTACCTAAAGACTTTCCAGATTTGGCATTATGTGGATGTAGCCAATTTCCAGGGCTCCTGGAGGATCACGTGGAGACACTGTAGCACAGTGCCTATAGCCATATTGCTTGGGTAGAAATCTCAGTTCTGCTGCTTATTGGTTGTGTGATCTTGGACAATTTAAGCCCTCTATGCTTTGGTTTCCTTGTTTGTTTGCAAACACAAGGATAACATTTTTCTACATCACAGTTTGTTGTGAGGATGAAACACATGTAAACAGTGTACTTGGCATTTAAATATTTAAGTATCCAATGAGCATTAGCTGTTATTTTACTGAGGCTTTAGTTTTACACATACATATACACATGTATGTACATATATACAAATATGATAATGTACACATGCCTATAATATAAACAAACCTATAATAAAATATAGCTTATATGTATATACCTAAGCATACATGCATATAAAGAGATGTACACACACACACACACACACACACACACCCATTACCCAGCCCAGATCTGAAGCTCTAAGCTCCCGACAGTACTCTGTCCACATTTATATTACAGCCTTCATCACACTGCATTACAGCCTACTTATGTATCATTTTTCTCAATACATGTGAGCTTCACAATTCAGGTAATTACCTTCTTTATTCCCTTATCCCCAGAGCTTTGTGTACTGAGGATATTCCTGGGCTTACAGCAGATTTATATTGTTGGGTAGGTAGATGCTAGATGATACTTCACTATTAGATTATCATCCCTTTAGTTTAACACTTGGCTCTCCATTAAATTCACACGTCCGTAAGTGACTTAACACTTCATGCTGTTGTATTATTTACCACTTAGAGGAAATGAATTTCAAAGTCCTTGCTGAAAGTGGGCTTTGGCAAAAGTGTAGGAGAGAGATTTTCGGAGTCTGGATGTCTGTGAGCAATGGGCAAGTAAAGCATGTGAGATTCGTGGTGTTCATTCTTCTGTTCTGAAATAGTTCTCTTAGTAATATTTCTCTTCCCAACTCAACTTATGTGATCAGCAGTGGCTGCATGGTATCATCCATCACTGCTCTCAGATGGTCATAGCAAAGAAGAAAGTGAACAGTCATATTTCATTAGTTTGCTGGGGCTCCAGTAACAAAATTCTGCAGTCTTAGTGGCTTAAACAACATAATTGTATTTTCTCATAGTACTGGAGGCTAGAAGTCTAAGATCAAGATGCCATCAGTGTCGGTTTCTGGTAAGGCCTCTCTTTCTGGCTTGCAGACAGTTGCCTTCCTGCTATGTCCTTACATGGCCTTTTCTCTGTGCACACATAGAGGGAGAGAGAAAAAGGAAAAGAGAACTCTCTGGTATCTCTTCCTCTTCCCAAAGGAAACCAGTGCTATCGGAATAGGGTCTCATCTTTGCTATAGACTGAATGTTTGTGGCCTCCAAGATTCATGTGTTGAAATCCTAACTCCCAGTGTGCTGATATTAGGAGGTGGGGCCTTTGAGAGGCAGTTCGGTTTTGAGGGCAGAGCTCTTCTGGATGGGATTAGTGCTCTTATAAAAGAGATTACAGAGAGCTCCCTTGCCTCTACTGCCATGTGAGGTTATGGGGAGACCATGGTCACCTACAAAACAGGAGAAGGGTTCTCACCAGACACTGAATCTCCCACTGCCTTGATCTTGGACTTTCCAGTCTCCAGAACTGTGAGAAATAAATTTTGTTGTTTATAAGCTACCGGATCTGTGAAATTTTGTTGTAGCAGTTTTTCTGACCCCATTTAACCTTAATTGCCTCTTTAAAAGCCTATTCCATTGCGAGTTAGAGCTTCAACTTATGAATCTTGGTAGCAGGGGAGACACAATTCAGTCCACAACACCATGGTAGTCCCAATTGGAAACATATTTTAATTAAGAGTTGGAGTGTGTGTATCTGAGAGGCCCAAGCTTTATATTCTGCATTACTCTGTGATCAAAGTCAAACAGAGGGATGGGTCTTTCTGGCCTACAGAAGAGTAACAGAAAGCAGTGATCCCTGCAATCCCATTTGCAGGTACAGGCTGGAAATGCAGAAGCCAGTACATTTCAGGTCAGTCTCAGATGTTAAAACCACACAGTGGAGATTCACGTTTCCCCAGGTGAACTTGGAAGAGTCAGAATGTGCAGAGTGCAACTCCAGCGAGGAATGCCAGACAGAGTCCATGGAGGAGGTGGGATTTCCCAGAGTTGTGCCCAGGCCCCTGATACAGATCTATCAGCCAGAGGAGTGGCAGGGCCGGATGGGAAAAGCTCAGTTAAGTCTGGGAAATGCAGCAGGTGAGTTGAGAGCCAAGTGAGACTGTCCAGCCAGAAGAGCAGAGCAAGAAATGTACCAAAGAAACAAAGAGATGGAAATGGAATGATAGGAGGATAGGGTCAACGGCCTGAGGCCAGCCTCAGAACTAATTTTGAGAACACTGAATTCTCCTTTTATGTGGGCCTTGGCAGACATACTATATCAAGGGCTTAACTCTAAGTATCTAGAACTGGCCTTGTACAATTAGAAAAATTTTGGCAGATAAAAAAAAAAGCAGTTTCATTAAATTGCAGGCATTATACCCTTCCATGGTACTTCCTCATGAAATGCCCAAGCTCAGTGATCTCATCCAGCAGTAATACTAACCCTACTTTGACTAACAATCTCTTTCATCATGAAAAGTGAATTTTTAACTAGAATTTTAATTGATTTGTGAATTATGCTACCTTCTAGTTAGCCTTGTAATATACAAGTGGATAGTAACTCTACTTACCATTCTTTGTAATATTTCTTAGTTATTCTTTTAATTTATAAACATTACATCCTCGAAGAAGCCTTCTCTGACCTTGGATCCCCACATGGGATCAAAGCCCCCCAGTTACACCCTCTCTTAGCAGCCTGTACTTCTCCTTTATAGGTCTTCTCACCATTGCAATTAAATAGTAATTGCATGATTAATTGTTTAATGTCTGTCTTCCTTGCCAGATTTTTTGCCCAATGAAAGCACGAACCAGGTCTATTTTAATCATGACTATATCTAACACTGATTCTTGCCCATAGCAATAAATTCTTTTTAAATGAGTTATTTCATTCACTCATTTATTCATCCATTGGCTAATGTATTGAGCGTTCACAAACGCTCAAATCTGTGCTACACACAGGGAAACAGAAATTAACGTGATAGTGTCTGCATGCCAAGAGTTCACAATGTGGTACAGAAAGTTCTTAACCATTATAGGTGAAAGTTCCCCTTGAGAACCTGATGAAAACAGTCGTTCCTCTGCCCAGAAACTACACATTTAAAATGGACTTTGTATTTATCTTGCTGTGTTCACAGATTCCTGGAAGTCTGTTCACTGTCTTCCTAAAATTCCCTGAATTCCAAAAGGCAAAATCTCCCCATCAAACAGACTTAAAGACACATAAAAAGTAAGGAAAGGAATAAAAGAGGGCATCAGCTTGTCCTGCTATGAATCAGGAAAGGTTTCTGTTGGAAGAGATGCTTGAGCAAGATCTCAAATGATAATGTGATTTTACTGGGAAAAGTGAGAGCATTAGAGATTGCGAAGATAGCTTTTGGAAAAGCACGAAAGTGGGAAGGAACATATTTCAGAGAATTGCAAGTACCTTGTATAGATGAGAATGTGTGATTGGGAAGAAGTTTGGTGGGTGAGGGGTGAGGAGGGTGGTCAAGAGAGGATATTGGAAAGGTTACTGGATCTGAGAGGACTTTGTTCTATCCTGTGCTCCATGGGGAGAGACTGCAGGGTTTATTCCAGGAATGAGAGGATCAGATTTGTATTTTAGAAGGAGCCCTCTGGTGGTGGTGTTGAGAGCAGATCAAAGTCAGCGGTCCTTGAGGCTGGTAGATGAGCTTTCCTAGTGGGGCAATGGGGTTTGCTGAGAGGATGGAGTGATACTTGGGAAGGAGAAGCAGCAGGACTTTGTGACTGATTGGATGGGACTGTGGGAAAGAAGGGAGGAATAAACTTTAAGTTTGTGCCTTAATCAAGTGCATTATGGGCAGCCTTGACTCCCTGGCAGTCTTTTTGTCATGAATGCCAATTCAACAAAATAAAAGTGCTCACAGAACACAATTTTTTCTATTCAAGATGAAATAGGCTTTTGTAAATGATGAAAAGTTTCTACATTCCTTACAACCTAGATTACGTAAATAGATTGGATAGAAGAATGTCAGGAAAACCAACCCTGCTTTTTAATCACAAAAGTTTTATCTGTTGGAGCCACACTGAAGCAGCTTTCTTATCTTTCTTCTTGAGATAAGGGCTGTGTGGAGAAGCCAGGTTGGCCACATGCAGTCTTGGTGCAAGTTACTGATCACTACCTGAAGACTTCTGCGGGGAAAGGTGACAGCACATCTATGAACCCACTAAATTGGAGGCACTGTGTACAGTGTGTTGTATAAAGAGGATTCCTGCAAATATTAAATCATAACTATGAATTATAAATAATTTTTCTTTAAATTAGGAATCTTGAGTATTATAAATCTTGACTTGTAATAAAAAAACCTGTGAAAGTTAAAATTCACTTATAATTAGCTGCAGTTTCAAACCTCCTATGTAGTTGCCTACTGAACAACACAGGTTTGAACTACATGGGTCCATTTATATGTAGATATTTTTCACTAAATACAGTAGAGCACTGTGAATATATATATATATATAATATATATATATATATATTTATTGGAGTTCAATTTGCCAACATATAGCATAACACCCAGTGCTCATCCCATCAAGTGCCCCCCTCAGTGCTCATCACCCAGTCACCCCCACCCCCTGCCCACCTCCCTTTCCACCACACTTTGTTCGTTTCCCAGAGTTAGGAGTCTCTCATGTTCTGTCTCTCTTTCTGATATTTCCCACTCATTTTTTCTCCTTTCCCCTTTATTCCCTTTCACTATTTTTTATATTCCCCTAATGAATGAGACCATATAATGTTTGTCCTTCTCCGACTGACTTATTTCACTCAGCATAATACCCTCCAGTTCCATCCATGTCGAAGCAAATGATGTGTATTTGTCATTTCTAATGGCTGAGTAATATTCCATTGTATACATAAACCATGTCTTCTTTATCCATTCATCTTCCGATGGACACTGAGGCTCCTTCCACAGTTTGGCTATTATGGACATTGCTGCTATAAACATCGGGGTGCAGGTGTCCCGGCATTTCACTGCATCTGTATCTTTGGGGTAAATCCCCAGCTGTGCAATTGCTGGGTCGTAGGGCAGATCTATTTTTAACTCTTTGAGGAACCTCCACACAGTTTTCCAGATTGGCTGCACCAGTTCACATTCCCACCAACAGTGCAAGAGGGTTCCCCTTTCTTCACATCCTCTCCAACATTTGTGGTTTCCTGCCTTGTTAATTTTCCCCATTCTCATTGGTGCGAGGTGGTATCTCATTGTGGTTTTGATTTGTATTTCCCTGATGGCCAGTGATGCGGAGCATTTTCTCATGTACTTGTTGGCCATGTCTATGTCTTCTTCTGTGAGATTTCTGTTCATGTCTTTTGCCCATTTCATGATTGGATTGTTTGTTTCTTGGGTGCTGAGTTTAATAAGCTCTTTATAGATCTTGGAAACTAGCCCTTTATCTGATACATCATTTGCAAATATCTTCTCCCATTCTGTAGGTTGTCTTTTAGTTTTGTTGACTGTATCCTTTGCTGTGCAAAAGCTTCTTATCTTGATGAAGTCCCAATAGTTCATTTTTGCTTTTGTTTCTCTTGCTTTCATGGATGTATTTTGCAAGAAGTTACTGTGGCCAAGTTCAAAAAGGGTGTTGCCTGTGTTCTCCTCTAGGATTTTGATGGAATCTTATCTCACATTTAGATCTTTCATCCATTTTGAGTTTATCTTTGTGTATGGTGCAAGAGAGTGGTCTAGTTTCATTCTTCTGCATGTGGATGTCCAATTTTCCCAGCACCATTTATTGAAGAGACTGTCTTTCTTCCAGTGGATCGTCTTTCCTCCTTTGTCGAATATTAGTTGACCATAAAGTTGAGGGTCCACTCTGGTTTCTCTATTCTGTTCCTTTGATCTATGTGTCTGTTTTTGTGCCAGTACCACACTGTCTTGATGACCACAGCTTGTAAATATATTTTCTTTATGATTTTTTAAATAACATTTTCTTTTCTCTAGTTAGTTTATTGTAAGAATACAGTATGTAATACAGACAACATACAAAATATGTGTTAATTGTCTGTTTATGTTATTGGTTAGTGTTTTCTGGCCCAGAGTAGGCTATTTGTAGTTAAGTCTTGGGGAAATCAAAAGTTCTATGTGGATTTTTGACTGCATGAAGGTCAGTGTCCCTAACCTCTGTATTGCTCAAAGATCCAGTATAGTAGGACACTGAGATCTCAACTTTTTTTTTAAAGATTTTATTTTTATTTACTTATTTGAGAGCACATGCAGGACTGGGGCCGGGGCGGGGAGCAGAGGGAGAGTGAGAAAGAATCTGAAGCAGATCTGCTCTAAGCCCAGAGCCTGATGTGGGACTCCATCTCATGGCCACAAGATCATGACCTGAGTCAAAACCAGGAGTTGGACGGTTAATTGACTGAGATACCCAGGTGCCCCTCAATTAACTTTTTAAAAAACAGCTTTGTTGAGATATATTGCACATGCCATACAATTCTTCCATTGAATGTGAACAATACTTCTAATTACTTTCAAAAATATTGTTTTTTAGACATTATTTTTGTAATTAAGTGGTATTCCTCTTGTAACAAACAAACAAACAAACAAAAAGAATGCCAAGTATGTATATTTAAAATTTGTCTAACAGTCCTTACACACAGGAATTTTCTCAGGTGCTTCTGATAATTGGAGTCAAGAGAAAATATATTCTTATGGAAGTTTAAGTGAAAGAAAAGTGTAAAATGTGGTCAACATATTATTGCAAAAGTGACAGGTGTAGTGAGAAGAAAAGACTAATGGCAGACTGTCCTGATGGCTTTCTTCAGTGTCTTGCTTGGGAAAGGAGACCCAGGTTAATTTACAGACTCTCAGTTCACTATCAAGGGGTTAGGGAGAGACTTTCTCTGCCAGTAACCAACCTGGCTAATGGCTGATATGTTGTGATAAGTGTTTTCTCACCCAGGATAGTAGTGGTATCACATCAAGAGGTGAAAAAAGTAAATAATAGCTTTGGGGTTTAAGCTGAAGTAAATGGCAAAAGAAAAGTTCCATTAAGCACATATACACAGTGAGAAAAATTGGAAGATTTGAGAACTCTGAATGTCAACTCCCATTGTGTGTTAATGATCTTTGTCATTGATGGAATAGGTCTAGAAACATGCTTTTTGCTAAAATAACAATGTATAGAAAAAATATAAGCCTTTTTGTATGAAATTGACAGAACTATCCACGAATATTGAATCTCTGTGGATTGCTCTATGACACTGGATGCCAGGGTACAGCTGGTGTTTGAGTTTGACCCACATATTGGTAATTTATCTGAAAGAGCTTTTTCTTTCCACGATTGCATATTTTGAGTGTGTAGTGGGAGAAGAGCTTAGACAAATCAGACAACCCATCTTGATATCATTGCTAGACTATTTGTTTTTAAGTGCAGCTTTTATCTTGTGACTTCTGGTTAAAGTAACTCCTTATTTAATACCTTCATCTGACTTTAAGTCCTGCTATAATCCAGCACCATCCCAATTTTCTGGTAATCAAGTTTATTTCCTCATTGTTTCAGATATACAAAGATTCATTTTTATATCTGAATGTTTATGTCGTTTACTTCCTATTATATTCACTTTCTTAAAAGTCTGCTTTGATGTTGCATCCTCTGCTTACAACAATAGATACTATAAGAATAAGCCTTATTATATATATATGTGTGTATATAGATATATATATCTCATAATCCCATAATCCCCATAATGGTGGACTATGCAGCTGTGAAAAGGAACAAGGAGGATCTCAATATACAGTTATGGAATGATCTCCAATATATATACTATTATTCTGAAAAAACAAAACCAAACCAAAATGTGGAACAATATTTATAGTATGTAACTTTTTGTATAAGAGAGTGAAATAGAAAAGATATATGCATTTTCTAATGTTTCTGAAAAGAAAGAAGGATAAATAAAAAGTTAACCAAAAAAATGTCAATTTTTAGGGATGTCTGGGTGGCTTGGTCAGTTAAGCGTCTGCCTTGGGCTCAGGTCATGATCTCAGGGTCCTAGAATTGAGCACCATGGCTCCTTGCACAGCAGGGGAGCCTGCTTCTCTCTCTCCCTCTGCATCCCCACCCACCATGCATGTTTTCTCTCTCAAATGAATAAATAAAATCTTTTTAAAAAATGTCAATTTATAGAGGTAGTAAGGAAACAGGGCAAGGATGAAAGCTATACTTCTTTGAAGTACCTGTCTTGTGATTTATATCAAGACCCATGTAAATGTTTTATATTATTAAAAGACAATTAAATAAAAGTGATAAAAACAAAAGTTTCTAAAAATTGTAAACAACCTGGTATCAGGTCTGTAGTATAACTCTTCAGAGAAGAACTGTCTAAAGAGCTCTTAAATTACAGTATTTTGACAATATTGCTGTATACTTTAGGGACATAAAACTCCATTAAGAAATCTTATGCTGTATTCAGTGTTCTTGTTGTCAACGTTAATATTTGTATCACTGAGGTTTTTTCTCCTAATTTTAGAAATTGTGGTAAAATACAACATAAATTTTATTATCTTAACTATTTTAACTGTACAGCTCAGTAGTACTAAGCACAGCCATATTGTGCAACCATTGCCACCATTCCTCAGGAACTTTTCATAAGACTGAAACATTATATCCATTAGACAATAATTCTTCAAACCTCCCCTCCCCTGAGTTTCTGGCAATCACCATTTGCCTTTTTGTCTAAGATTCTGACTATTCTAACTACATTGTATAAGTGAAATTATACCATACTTGTTTTTGGTAATGTGCTTATTTCATTTAGCATAATATCTTCAAGGTTTATCTATGTTGTAGCATATTTCAGAATTTCTTTTCTTGTGTGTGGGTGCCACATCTTGCTTATCCACCATCTGTTGAAGGTCCTTTGGGTTGCTTCACGTCTTAGCTATTGTGAATAATGCTGCTATGAATGGGGTATACAAATATTGCTTGTCACCCTGCTTCTGCCTTCAATCTTTTGAGTATATACCCAGAAATGGAATTGCTGGATTATATGGAATTATATATGGAATTATATGGAATTCCATATATATGGAATTATATATGGAATTATATGGAATTTCTGGAAATGGAAATTCCATTTCCAGAAATGGAATTGCTGGATTATTCTCCTCCAAAGAATTAAGAGGAGACACCATGCTGTTTCCCAAAGCTACTGTACCAGTTTTCATTCCCACCAATAGTGCAGAAGAATGCCAATTTTTCCATGTCCTCATTAACACTTGTTATTGTCCTCCTTCTTTTTGTTGTTGTTGATAGGAGCCATCCTAAAGAGTGTGAGACTTTACTTGCGTATCTTTGCAAGCCATTTCAAATCCCTTTTGGATCTAGGTGAAATAAAAATAATATTTAAAAAACAACAGCCAATTTGCTTACATTTTCCTTCTCTCCTTTTCCTTCCTTCCTTCCTCTTCTTTCATTCATACTGTATCCAGTCCTCAAATCCAACTTTTCCATGCACTCCTGGTTTTTCATTGACCTCCCTCCCTTTCCTCTGAGCTGTTGTATTAATATCATTTTTCACTTTAGGATTTCAGACTACGTGCTAGTGTTTTGTGTGTATTAGTCCTGTTGTCCCAGGCTGTGTGTTTTTTAGTAGCCAGGCCCAAGAAACTACTTTTCTGAATTGTCTAATGCAATGACACTCTATCAAAAGATGCTTTCTTTTAACAGTATTCTTGTTAACAAATGCCCAACTTTTAGCTAATTAACTTTCAGAACACTCAGCACGTCCTCTTTAGAATTGTAGGAACCTGTTTTTATTTGCAGCAGCCATGCTTGTTTCACCGATCCTGAAAGACTATTCAATTACTCAACTAAGATTTCTTGAGTTCCTACCATATGGTGGTTTGTTTCTTTTTTTAAGATTTTATTTATTTATTCATGAGAGACACAGGCAAAAGGAGAAGCAGTTTCTTCGCAGGGAGCCCTTTGTGGGCCTTGATTCCATGATCCCGGATCACGCCCTGAGCAGAAGGCAGCCGCTCAACCACTGAGCCACCCAGGTGCCCTATATATCCTGTTCTTGACAGGGCACTGCATTTGCAACACACTTTGAGATGAAAGGTAATGTCCACATGGGGTGAAGTCTAGTTCTGTTGTAACTTGGGGGGAGGAGCAGGTAGGATAGGTTTTGCGTGAGTCTAATAGTTGGGGACCACTCCTCAATAGGCAGGGCATTTAGTCTCTAGCCAAAACCAAATCTTGGATGAAAGGCAGACAATGGAACTCTGAATAATGTATATTCTGGGTTTTTTTTTCTTTTTTTTAAATTTGTTTATTTATGATAGTCACAGAGAGAGAGAGAGAGAGAGAGAGAGGCAGAGATACAGGCAGAGGGAGAAGCAGGCTCCATGCACCGGGAGCCCGATGTGGGATTCGATCCCGAGTCTCCAGGATCGCGCCCTGGGCCAAAGGCAGGCGCCAAACCGCTGCACCACCCAGGGATCCCTGTATATTCTGGGTTTTAACTACCATAATCAATTTATCTCCGTTGACAGGGCTCTCCTGATTTTAAAACATTAAGTCCAGCGTCTTAACCTCATTACTTCCAGGCAAACTGGAATGGCAGGTCCTCTGAACTCTAATACTGGCTCTCACGTCCCCAGGGCTACGAGGCCACTCCAACCCGCCTTGGTTACTTTGAGTACGTTCTCACCAAACTGCGCCCACGCCTCTTCCACTCCCGAGTAAAGACTACAAGTCCCAGCGTGCAGCGCAGCCCTACCAGGCCAGTCCTCGACCGCCGGGGCTCTGTGAGGCAGTGTCTCCCGGAGGGCGCTGGGCCTGGTAGCCTGTGCGCGCTGACGTCATGCGTAGACGTCAGCCTCTTCGCGCCTCTTCCCCGCCTACCGGGTTGCGGAAGTCCCGCGGCAGGAGGTCTAAAGCGGTGCTTCCCCGCCCCCCTTCGGCGTTTTGGGTTTTTGTTTTTTTTTTTTCTCTTGGAGCCTCCTTGGTTTAAAAGGCAGAGAACGTCTGGAAAGGGGTCGCTACTCCTGCCCTCATTCCTCCGAGTTCGCGATTCCGCAGTCCGCCATGGACCGCGTGTGTGCAGTTTTCGGAGGCTCCAGGGGCATTGGGAGGGCAGTGGCCCAGGTGATGGCCCAGAAAGGCTACCGGCTGGCCGTCATCGCCAGAAATCTGGAAGGGGCCAGGGCCGCCGCCGGAGCGCTCGGCGGTAGGTACCGAGCTGCCCAGCCCTGTGGCTGCAGCCCGAGCGCCTCCGGTTTCCTTGTTTGTAAAACGGGAAGGTCTGGCCTTCCTGGCTCTGAGGTTTAGGAGTTCGGCTTCCCGCGCCCAGGAGCACCGGGTCCCGAGTGTGGACGCGGGTTCGGGCAGAGAGCCCCACGGGCCGGCTCCCCGCAGAGCGTGTCCGCGCGGCCGGCCGCCGAGGGGTGCACGTTGGGGTTTCCCGGGAGGCCCCGTGAACTGAGACCCCACCTCCCTGACGCTCCTGCTCACCTGCCTGTCTGGAGGGAGGAGACCTGGGCCCAGAGGAGTTGGGCGCGGAGGCCCCTGCGGTCCTGCGGGTCCTGCCGGGGCTGTGTCGGCGTGCGAGGGCGCAGAGCCGTGCCATAGACCGACTCCGTCCGTCTTGTTCTGGCTCTTCCACATCCATAAGCGCTCAGTAGGTCATTAAATCGTTCTGATGGCTCTCGCAAATGGTGAATTGAGATTTTTCAGGTTCCTTTTTTTGAGATTTTTCAGATTCACTTAAAACCCAATTATTTCGGTTTGTTAATAATGGATTAGTCATTGTTTTTTGCACTATTTTGCGAATTTAAGTCTCTGGATAGTGGGGAGAAACAGGATGTAGGAAAGATGCCAAGATGCTGTAATGGAGTTACTAGAAGGCTCGGGTGCGCTTCATTCACTCTCAGGAAAGCACTGGGAAGAGCAGAGGCCTGGGGAGGCACCTGGAGGCTGCATCCTTTAACATTAGGATTTGTTCACCCTAGTTGTGCACATGGGTTGTGAAAATACTAGACTCTGTTTAGAGAGGGGGATAAAAAAGTTACGGAGCCAGGAGAATTTCAGTGAATGCTTCTTGCTGCTCATATTCACTGCCTATGTTATGGTGACAAAGGAGTGAGAAAGTGGGTTTTCCTTATGGGATCATCCCAAACCATTAGTGTTTGCTAGAATAGGTTGAAACTGTTGGTTGAGCTTCCAGGGGTTATTGTGGCCCAAGTTTCAGATGAATGCCAGCAGTGGGTCACAGAGGAGTGTGAAAGTGTAATTTTAGTGTTAACCTACTAGGTAAAGTCAGCCAGAAAATAAGCAGTTGTTTAGTTTTCCAAAAAAATACACATTTTAGAGTATTAAAATGATGTGTTATTAAAGAGAATGCTTTCTTTGAAGTGTATTCTTCTGAAGTTTAAGCATCTCTAAAAAGTGGGCATTTTAAAAAAGGGAAGTAACAGTTTTTAGTAAAAAGTTATTTTTTTGTGTGTTTTTTAGTTTTGGCATTTTTTTTCTTTTTGTAGCTTCCTGCTATGTAATGGTCAGTCTTGAATAATAGTTATTGTAACATAGATGCCATAGTAAAAAAAAAAAAAAAGCGGAAGAAACCCTAGGGTTTATTCTTAGGACCAGAATGAGACATAAATTTCAAAAAAGAACTATATTACACAGAACACTATTGAATTGAGTAGCATGGGGTCACCATCAAAACCAGAAATATTATTAGATTAATCTTACAGAGCCTTGTGAACACAAAAAAAGGCCCTACCATTTTTTGACTAAAAAAAAAGTTGTAAGATTTAGTTCTGTAGTATTACTTCTCCTTGTTCTCCATCCATCCCCCCACAGGAGTTTTATCGGACTGAACTCCTTGAGAGCAGAAATTCATGACATAGTCATTTTTTTAATCTCTAGGTTCTGGTATTACAGACTTAGCTCATAGTAGATGCTTAACAAATGTATATTGAATCATTTTTAAGTTGAACTTATAATTTATAAATAATGCTAATTTAACTTTGTTGTATAGGAGATCATTTGGCATTTAGCTGTGATGTTGCCAAAGAACGCGATGTTCAAAATACATTTGAAGAAATGGAGAAAAATTTAGGTCGAGTTAATTTCTTGGTAAATGCTGCTGGAATTAACAGGTTGGTCACAAATTTAAGTACACTTCTCATACATTTTTTTTTCCTAGCATGTCTTTGATTGGTATGAGTAAATATATTAACTTGCTCTACTTCTAATTGGAATAAAATATGTATTTTAAAAAATATGAAGGGACACCTGGGTGGCTGAGTGGTTGAGCATCTGCCTTTGGCTCAGGGCGTGATCCTGGGGTCCTGGGATCAAGTCCTGCCTCGGGCTCCCTGCATGGAGCCAGCTTCTTCCTCTGCCTGTGTCTCTGCTTTTCTCTCTCTCTGTGTTTCTCATGAATAAATAAATAAAATCTTTAAAAAATACATATGTGTATATATTTTAAAACTTTGTCAATCTATACATTCTTTTCTTATAAAATATAAATTGAGATACATAATAAGGATACATTTCGATGAATTTTAACATTGTAATCACACCCATATTGAACTATAGAACTTTTTCAGCACTCTAGCAGTTTCTTCCCAGTTAATACTTCCTTATAGATAACCGCCATTCTGGCTTCTGTCACCCTTGTGTAAGTTCATGAACTTGTATTAGAGGTATTTTATTTATTAGGTATTTTTTTCTTTTTAAAAGACGAATTTAGGACAATACTTAGCATAATGTATTTTATTGCTAAACAGGGCTTACTATAATGGCAGTTGCTCAGTTCGTTTAAGATATTTTGGCTACATGGTATTACTTTTAGCGATTAGGAATATTTGCCATTCAACCTGTCTTCTAAGTTTATCTGTTCTGATTTATGAGTTATTTTAGTGCCCCTTAAAATCAGTTTAAAGTGGGAGTCTGTAGGTATTCTAGCCCAAATATATTTCTAATACTCTACTTTCAGTTAAAATATCATGTATTCTTATCTTTAAAATTTGTTTTATCTCATTTTTAATTTACATGCTACTGTTTTTTGTTTGTTTGTAGGGACAGCCTTTTAGTAAGAACAAAAACTGAAGATATGATATCTCAGCTTCATACTAACCTCTTGGGTTCCATGTTGACTTGTAAAGCTGCCTTGAAGACTATGATTCAGCAGCAGAGAGGGTCTATTGTTAATGTAGGTGAGTCTTCACCTGTGAAATTAGACTTATCTCATAGTGCCATAAAAATATTTAATTGATTAATTTGGAGCTTAGTCACGTGTGAAACTTGGATGAAATGGGTCTTTTTACTATCTGTGGAAACAGGATTTAATTAAACAGTTAATGGGTAAAACAGGAATTGCAAATTTACATCTCTCTAGTGGTCAAGCAGATGTTAAATGAATGACATCACCAGTATTAGAAAAATGACAGTACAAGCCATATGATACATGACAAAAGATGCCCAGCTTCAGTGTCCAGAGGCCATGTGGAAAGGCCAGGGCAGCCACTGTTTAGATGCAGTGGATTGTTGCTATGCACAGATCTGGTCTCTGTTTTGCCAGCCATTTAAGAGAAATTAGACATCCTGATTTTCCATGTGATACCTAATTTTTAAAATATGGATAAGGAATTGAAAAACTTTAGGTAGTGGGGGCTAAAAAATGATCTCTGTAGCAGTTGCATGTGTTACTATAAATAAAGTACACAGGTTTAGGAGGAAGTTTTCTGAAGGGAATGATTTTTTTCAAATGAAGGTAAGTAACCCCTAGTCTTCAGTTCATCTGACCCATGGGGCAGATAAACCGTGTAGTATGTGCTTGTAGACTTTAAAATGCAAAATGACTTAAAATTTCCTTTCAGTTTGGCAATTTGAAAATAGCAGCATATTGTCTGCCTTTTAATTTAATTTTTTTAAAAAATTTTTATTTATGATAGTCACAGAGAGAGAGAGAGAGAGAGAGAGAGAGGCAGAGATATAGGCAGAGGGAGAAGCAGGCTCCATGTACCGGGAGCCTGACGTGGGATTCGATCCCGGGTCTCCAGGATCGCGCCCTGGGCCAAAGGCAGGCGCTAAACCGCTGCGCCACCCAGGGATCCCCTGCCTTTTAATTTTAATCAGTAATACCTTAAAAGGCCATAAACGGGGAATGCCGCTCCATTTAAGTAAATGGCCCTGTTGTTTTAATTTAGGAAATGGCTTTCCAAGCCAAAATGTAGGGTTTTTCTCTTTGGAAAATGAGAAAAGAATACTGTGCTAATAAGAATTAGGACATTTTTGACGTTAACCCTTAAAAATGTAGGAAATCAGTTTCTTAGAATTAAGATTAGTAAATGATTAAAAAGTGAAAGATTAGTCGACCTTTACCTTCCAACACAGCCAGGTGATGTTTTTGCATTCTCAGAAGCTGGTTTACTTGCCCATATATATCACCTGATAATGTGGGTTTATTTGTTTAACACTAAACTATTCCCTTTTTAGATATATTTTAAAAGCCCACTTTAGTCCTTTGTATACATGCAAAGCTTTTAAAATTGTGCTAAAGGTACATAATTGCAAGTCAGAGAATCTTTTTACAGAAAGGACTACTTTAAACTCTTAGAAAGTTCACTGATTATTTCAGAGGTTAACACTTCCTGACTAGATGGACAGTAGTGTGGCGCAAACTAAAGCTTCCTATTGGCCTTCCTTCGATGCTGATATTTTTCTTTCTTTTTTGTGTCTCTGGATTTCTCTTTCTCCCAAATACCCCTTTCGCTGTTTATCTGCATTTCCTCTGTCTGATGTTTCTTTTCTCTCCTTTGTCATTCGCTGGCCTTTAAGATATAAGGCAGATATTTTAATATTGGACTTGTTGATTATAATATAAAAAGTGTTTGGAATGTTTTCTCTTCCTAAAATAAAATTTTTCAAAGGTTTTGTGAAGTACTTGATTAATTTTTATATCATAAGTATAGGTCACTGGTGCAGAAAATCACTTCCCTATTTCTGTTTTGAAAGAATTTATTTGCATACAGTTGATACTTGAATTATAAATATTCTTTTATATTCATATAAATGAGACTACCCAAGAATCTTTATTAGGCAATACAAGTTATAATACATCACTGAAGGTAACTAAACTGCAGTTTTACGAAAAGTTTATAGTTGAACCTTTTTTTTTTTTTAAGATTTTATTTATTTATTCATGAGAGACAGAGAGAGAGAGAGAGAGAGAAAGAGGCAGAGACACAGGCAGAGGGAGAGGCAGGCTCCATGCAGGGAGCCCGACGCGGGACTTGATTCTGGGTCCCCAGGATCAGGCCCTGGCTGAAGGCGGCGCCAAACCACTGAGCCACCAGGGCTGCCAGTTGAACCTTTGTTAACTTAGATTGATGGTAGTTTAAATTTAGTGAGATTTATCTTCAGCTGAACTATATTTTTAGGTAGAAATGAATACCTTCTCATGTCGGCATTGTAGAACCCATAAAATCAGTCAGCCAGGTTTTAATCTTTCCTACTGGACACTTTATAGGACCATATCTGACCTACTCAGAGATGAGAGTGGATTTCTTTTACTTAATGGATCAGTTCTCAAGCCCCTGCCTGACATTTGAGGTTTTACATGAGCTTCTTTCAGAACCTGTTTTCTTTTTGTATCTGAAGCAGACTCCAACCCTAAGTCTTATTACTCAAATGACAGTGTTTAGAACTCCTAATTTTATTTTATTTTATTTTATTTATTTATTTTTTTTTTTACTTTTTTTTTTTTAATTTATTTATGATAGTCAGAGAGAGAGAGAGAGGCGCAGAGACAGGCAGAGGGAGAAGCAGGCTCCATGCACCGGGAGCCCGACGTGGGATTCGATCCCGGGTCTCCAGGATCGCGCCCTGGGCCAAAGGCAGGCGCCAAACCGCTGCGCCACCCAGGGATCCCTAGAACTCCTAATTTTAGCAAAGGACAAGGCAAAATGGTTTGTGCTTTGTTAACTGTAAATTATTTAAATATTCAAATAACTCATTAATTGGTTTAAATTTGCTTTTGTTTTATTTTTTCTAGGAAGTATTATTGGTTTAAAAGGCAATTCTGGCCAATCTGTGTACAGTGCAAGTAAAGGAGGACTAGTTGGATTTTCACGTGCTCTTGCTAAAGAAGTAGCAAGAAAGAAAATTAGAGTGAATGTAGTTGCACCAGGTCAGTGAAAACGTTTTTCTTTTTTTAAAAATTGAAGTATAGTTGACATACAATATTATGTTAGTTTCAGATGTACAATATAGTGATTCAAAAATTAATGTATATTATGAAATGTTCACCATGATAGGTTAGCTACCCTCTGTGTACTATACAAAGTTTTTACAGTATTACTGACTGTATTCCCTATGCTGTACTTTCTATCCGTATGACATATTTATTTTATAATTGGAAGCTTGTACCTCTTAATCCTCTTTACATATTTTGCCCGTCCCTCCATCCCTCTCCCCTCTGGCAACCATCAGTTCTCTGTTATTTATGAGTCTGTTTCTGTTTTTGTTGAGTCATTTTGTTTTTAAGATTCCACGTCCAAGTGAAATCATGTCATTTGTCCTTTTCTCTCTCTTATTCGCTTAACATAATACCCTCTAGGTCCATCCATGTTGCCAATGGCTAAGTTTTTCTTCTTTTCATGGTTGAGTAATATTCCACTGTGTATATATATGTATCACATCTTCTTTATCCATTCATCTATCATGAATGCTCATTTAGGTTGTTTCCGTTTCTTAGCTATTTACATAGCCAGTTTCCTTCTTTTGCTGTTCAGTTTTCTTAACACCATTTATTGATGAGACTGTATTTTCTTTTTTGTAAATTCTTGTCACCTTTGTCATAGATTAATTGACCATATAAAAAGAGAGTTTATTTCTGGGCCTCCATTCTGTTCCATTGATCTATGTGTTTTTGTGCCAGTACCATACTGCTTTGATTGCTGTAGTTTTATAATATAGTGTGAAATCTGGGATCTTGATACCTCCAGCTTTGTTCTTCTTTCTCAAGATTATTTTGGGTGGGGGCACCTGACTGCCTCAGTTGGTAGAATGTGTGACTCTTAATCTTGGGGTCGTGAGTTCAAACTCCACATTGGGTGCAGTGATTGCATAAGAAAGAGAGAGAGAGAAAGAAAGAGGGAAAGAGTAAGTAAGTTTGGCTATTTGGGGTCTTTTGTGATTCCATATAAATTTTAGGATTCTTCTAGTTTTGTGAAAAATTACTATTGGTATTTTAATAGGGATTACTGTGGGTAGTATGGACAATTTAACAATTCTTCTAATCCATAAGCGTGGAATATCTTTCCATTTATATGTATCATCTTCAGTTTCTTCATCAGTCTTATAGGGTTCAGAGTATTAGGTTTCATCTCCTTGGTTAAGTTTATTCTTAAGTATTTTATCCTTTTGGTGTAATTGTAAATGCGATTTTTTAAAAATTTTTTTCTTCTAGTTCATAATTAGTGTATAGAAATCCAACAGATTTCTGTATTGGTTTTGTATCCTGCAAGTTTACTAAATTCATTTATTCTAGTATATTTTTGGTGGACTCTTTATATGTATATGTATGTATCTATGTATATGATGTCATTTGCAAATAGTGACAGTTTTACTTTCTTTTAGAATATAGTTTATGTATCCTTATGGCTTTGTACAACAATAGCAGGGATTGTTCGTACATTGCCATCACCAGGCATATTTGAGTATCAGAATAAGAACATGAAATCTTCACTGTTATTGAATTCTTGAGTAGTGTAATGTGTGAGGGCATGACTGTGTCTTGACAGGACTAAAATGGCTACACCTGCCCACATTGCCAGTCTCTGTACTACCCTCAAGGAAGAGAACAAGAGTAATGCCAGGCTGTTTTGTTTGCATAAACCACATTGCATTTTTTTTTCTTTTTTTAAGAGAGAGAGTGAGAGAATCTTAAGCAGGCTCCACATTGGGTATGGAACCTGACATGATTCTTGATCTCATGATCCTGAGATTATGATCTTTGCTGAAATCAAGTTAAGCCACCCAGGCACCCCACATTGCATTTTCTAGTAAATGATTACTCTCAGACTGAAAACACAAGAGAAATTTCTCATTTAAAAATTAGTTATAGGGATCCCTGGGTGGAGCAGCGGTTTAGCGCCTGCCTTTGGCCCAGGGCGCGATCCTGGAGACCCGGGATCGAATCCCACGTCGGGCTCCCGGTGCATGGAGCCTGCTTCTCCCTCTGCCTATGTCTCTGCCTCTCTCTCTCTCATCTGTGTGACTATCATAAATAAATAAAAATTTAAAAAATATTTAAAAATTAGTTATAAATTAAGACCTCTTAAGAGTTGAATGTAAGAATTTCAGGTTAGGTTGGGGAGTGGGTGTTGGTAACATATCCACTTGTTGAAGTCCAAATTGTATAGTTTTGGAGAACTATTTCCATTTTAAGTATCCTTCTCTCTTCTTGGAATGTTCTTTGATTTATTGCTCACTGGGATACATTTGCTAATTAATTTAGATTTTGTCACTATCCAAGCAGAGCTTTCTTTTTTTTTTTTTTAAGATTTTATTTATTTATTCATGAAAGACACACACACACACACACAGAGAGAGAGAGAGAGAGAGAGAGAGAGAGAGAGGCAGAGACACAGGCAGAGACACAGGCAGAAGGAGAAGCAGGCTCCATGCAGGGAGCCCGATGTGGGACTCTATCCCGGGTTTCTGGGATCATGCCCTGAGCTGAAGGCAGATGCTCAACCACTGAGCCACCAGGCATCCCAAAGCAGAGCTTTCCAAGTAATGTGTATATTCCCTAAATGTATTTCTTGTGTATCTTACAGAAACAACATTTCTCTATATTTAAAATACTTGAATAAGTCTATTATACAACATGCTTTTAATAATAGTATAAACCAGAGGAAATAATCAAACAGGGCTGCATATGTGATGTCATTTACACATTTCACCAAGCGACCAATAATTGACATACTGATTTCTCCAGAAAGTTGGTATTCTGACAGAAAAGAATTACCAGGGGTCACATAATGTTTGTTTTCAAAATAGACAACATGCCTTTCACTGTACCTCATTGTACCCTAGAGAGCAATCCAGGATTCATGTTAGAATTTCAATACAAAAAAAAAAAAAAAAAAGAATTTCAATACAAAGAAAAGTTTGAAGTATAAAAAGATATTTACACAGGCTCAGGAGAAAGAAACATCTTTTTAGAAGTCAATTTATGAAGTAGCAAGTTTTTAACAGTGATTTTTATCTGTAATTGTCTCTTTAATGAATAAATGGAGGTGCTGAGGCTCATTGTGTGATGGCACGGGAGGAAGAAAGTGGTAGGACATGGTAACAGAAATGAGACTGAATACTCTGGCACCAAAAAGTACTATTATGTATGCATGAGGCACTGCTTAGAGGAACTAAGGTTTCTAAAACCAGGCATATGTTGGAGTGGCCAACAATGAAGATGACTGTTTAATAGATGTGGCTGTTTAAAAATTTTCAAAATAGTAGAAGTCACATGGGGAAGCTTACAGTAGAGCTAGCCTCCTGGAGAAAATCTATCAGGAACACTTATATTCTTGTTAAAGATGTAAGAAAATTCAAGCCAATAAAGATGCAATTCACTTGTAAGACAAAGCAAGTTTGATTTGGGCTAATTGCACAAAAATCAGAGATTTCTTAAGACAAGTAAAACATTATTATGCACCTGTTCCTTTTCTTGTGCTTACTTTGGACATTCCTCATAGCTTGAAAATACTGATGGATTAAATGGGATGCAAAGCCAATTAACTTGATCTGTCAGTTACAGGTAATTGGAAAATATTAAAACAATGATTGGAATTAAAATGTAGCTTTCTAAAGGCTAAAGAAATTTTCCAATTCTTAACTTATGCTAAGGCTTTTAAAATAAATTAAAATATACAATGTACAGCTGGTTTGTTGGTCTTCAAATTGATTACCTTAAATTTTTAAAAGTTCTATTCCACTCAGTAGTCACCTGTACACATGAACACCAGGCATTCTACAAATCACTTAAGTCTCATTTTGAAATTTCCTCCTTCAACTTAAATTTTCACAGTGTGCTAAGTAATCTTCAAGACGAAGGGAAAGACTGATGAAATGTGAGTGTATTGATAAAATCTTCAAGACAAAGTTATAAAACCAACCTCCACTTTGACCAAAATAAGAATGCAGAATCTTTATAAGTGAAAACTTTTGCCAAAGCTCATCTTGAAAAGGTTAAGTTGCTCAGTTTGCTGAGCAACTATTTATTTTATTTTTTAATTTTTAAACAAGATTTATTTATAAAGAGATCACAAACATATGCAGAGGGAGGGGGACAGAAGCAGACTCCCTGCTGAGTGTGAAGACTGATGCAGGGCTTCTTAGTTCTACAACCCTGAAATCATGAGCCAAAATCAAGAGTTAGATGCTTTGCCAAAGGAGCCACTTAGGCAAGAAAGAGGCCATATTTTAGATGCCAGTCTCTTTTCTGATCTACTAACATTACAGGGCTTCCCAGAAGTGACTGAAACAATGCAGCATATAGGTATCTGTCAGAAGATGTGTTTAGTTCACAGGATTATAGAAGCAGTTGAAATTTCTTTAAAATACCTACATTAAAAAAAAAATACCTACATAAAAACATACTAAATTCTCCTAAGCATGAAATGCAAAATGTTCATAATTGTACATATTTTTTTCTGCCAAAATAGGGCCAAAAATGGTGAATGTGCAAGTATTAATTATGATGACTTTAAGATTAGTCAGAAACCTTGCCCAAGTGGCATTCCAAAGTGTCCAGACCAGTTAAACATGTATAAAATTAGTACTAATCCAGTTAGAAGTACAAAATGAAAATTATGAATGCTACCTTGAGTATCTGGGATTCCACAAATTTATAAGGAAACCATGTAACAAAGTAGATTCTAGTTTTAAGAAAACATAGTTTAGTATTTCAAAAATCTCAAGAAGTCCCACAATAACATCAAAAATCATTTATCTAGGGCTGCCTGGGTAGCTCAGTCAGTTAAGCCTCTGCTTTTGGCTCTGGTCATGATCTCAGCCATGGATGGAACCACACATTGGGCTCCTGGCTCAGTGAGGAGTCTGCCTCTTCCTCTCCCTCTGACGTTTCTCCCTGGTTGTGCTCTGTTTCTCTGTGTCAAATAAATA